TGTGTAATATTATCATAAATTCCTGAGTGTGTTTTGTGCATGTATATGAACATATGAGTAAAGTGCTTGCACACACACATATGAGGTGAGAGGCCATATGGAAGCCAGAGATCACAAATACTTAACCTACATCTATAGATAAAAATGGTCAAAACCATCTCATATTCTCAAAGTTAAATTTAAAAATAGTCTAGTATTCCAACACAGATAACAGTGTTCAAATCCAAGGGCATGAAAATTATCTCTATGGGTAATGACATAGAGTAGAGATTACTTATCTTTAAACTTGAACTTGAGGCTATCTCTGAGTAGAGATTAGGCAAACTTTGCAGCAACCTTGAGTATCTATACACATGAACAGTATCTTAAGGATTGCTGAGAGTCCTTTACATCTCAAATATTATCTCTTCTAGCCTACCTTTTTACAACATGGTTATTTTTTTTCCGAGATTTTCAAGACATCTCCAGTGTAAATGGTTGTTGAATTTTATAGTCACTTGTAATAAAATATTCTCAATATTTGAGAGTCTAATAAATATTTATTATCTTATGAGCCACCAGACAATTATTATGTTGTAAATAAACATATAATAGGCAAGTAGAAGGAAAAGAAAATGTTTATGGTCAAAGTAGCTATGTGCCACTACATAGCAACATGGATTTTAGATGAGAAACTAAGTCTTGAAAAAAAAGTGATTGGCACTGAGAACAGCTGACAAGGAAGGATCAGAGGAAGTGAGGTCACAGTGAAGACAGTATAGGGGAGGGGACCGTAATCACGATTTTATGAGAATACCTTAGATACCTAATATACATGAAAAGAAATCATTATAAAACTGTTACGTTTTGAATAGTTTGTGAGACTGCTGGCAAAACAGATCTCTAATCATTAGGAACTGTCTTTCATGTTTGAAAGATTATTCCATGTTAATGGATGGATAAAAATCGTTTTATTTTTCAAACATTATTAAGATAAAGCTTACAGTTAGGAGGCTCAATGCTCTAAGATAATAAGAAAAGAAGATGAAAAACTGATGAGTTCATCCCAGCTACCCCCTGAGAAGTTCACAGCTGGGGCCCACAGCAGGATAATTGATGCCCTCCGGGTTTTCAAATGTTTCCACCCAATATAAAGAAACCCAGTGTGAAATACGCATGGCTTTGGAAGGCTATAATAAATTGGATTTAATTACCTTTTTTTTTTCATTTAATAATAAGCAAAACAAAGTATCTCAAAGAAACCTAGATATCAAGTGATACTGAATTTCAACATAGTACTACAACTCAGTATGAACAGCTCTATTTAGGGCTCAGATTTTGAAGACAGAACTAGAAATTTCTTACCTTAAAGGTAATCCAATGGGTTTCAGGAGCGTCATTAACAGAAAGCAAGCTCTCACATTGTGGTGAGTTGGACACCATCTTCATTTTGTCAGGGTTTTATCAAGTATGGTACATGGAGTTAGATAAAAATTTGACAGGAAATGATAAATATTTGATCCTATGGCCCTGTCCAGACTAATTTGCCACTCTGGACACCATGAACAAGCACAGCAACTACTCTCAAGGCTAGCCTGCAGCTATGGAGGCTTCAGAGTCTAGTGCTGTGGCTGTGGTTATGGATATGGAGACCCTCGCAGTCTGGGATGCGGCAGTGATTGTGAGAACTCTGATCATTAGTCTGGCTACTAAGGTTTCTGATGCATGTCTCCACCCATTATGGCTAGGATGTGGAATCTCTGCTCTCTACTAGAGTGTTTTCACATTCAATAATATGCAATATTTAGAACCATAATATGTAAGAGTAAGAGCAATAATAAGAGAACTCTCTAAAGATGGTTTCACTCATTCTACAACTAAATTCATGATAGTGATAGCTGTGCACAAAAATTGACTATGCCACACAATTGTCAGTTCATCACACCAATGACATCATAATGCCAGAATTCTTTCATTTTGTTTATATTTGATTTGATTATTTCTTCTTCTAATAAATCAATATAATTATTTCTGTTCATAAATTTAATTATATACACATGCTGATGAATCTCAACATTGTGAAGGAAAGAGTCCATCAATATATAAACAATTATAGATTGGTCCAATAATAGTTTGGGATTGAATTAAAGCATCACAAGGATCAATACGTGATACTTTTCTGGGTTTTTTCCCTAGGTAATACTCATATTCACGTCAACAAGAGGCTGACAACATAACTATATTTTTATATGTTAAACATGCTTTATTATACTTAGAAATGTTTCTCAAATTACTCTCAACTTACATACATTCAGTAAGTGTCAACTTTTAATTGTAAGATCAATAAAATATTTTCAATTAAACCATATCATTAAGAATACTGGGAAAATAAAGTAGCTTTCCAAGAAAAAATTTAAAATTCTGCAATCTCACTCCACTCCTTTGTACATTCTTACTTGATAACTAAATATGCCATTGATCTTTAAGTTACCAATTAAGCAGGGTAATTTTTCATATGAGGTTAATTCATACTTAATTCAACATCTTTTAGCTGCACTTGTTCAGTTGGCTGATTGTTTTATTTCATTCAGTTCTACGACAGGATTTTCTTCCTTTTAATCCTCATTGTAGGATTTTTCAATCCAAATGTCTGTCTTTTAGTTCACTTCTGAACTGTTATTTGGAGCTCATTATCGTATGTTTATTATTACTGGCTTTTCTCTGATCACATCACTAAAATGACAAAATGACTAAGTGACTGCTTGTATGTTTACCATTTTGCATAGCTCAACCAAGATTCACCTTTCTGTGATGCCTCCCTAGGTTAAGATAAAAACATGCCTTAGTACACAAGGAAGTTCTCACTGTGTTAGGACTGACTGTGATTCCTGAGAGTGGGTGTTGCAAATACACACTACTATATTCAGCTTTGATATGCTGATGTATATGTTTCATGACCTTCTTTTACTATCTATCCATAAGCATGTATGTATGTACATCTGTGGAAATGTACACAAAGGGGCTAGGCACTTGAACATATGACTTCCTGCTTCTTTGAATTTATAAATATGACTCCAGGGTATACAATAGTTGAGTTCATTTTCATTGTAGTGTCTGCCTTAGTGTGAGCACATGACACTATGTCCATCAAAACAAGTACATAAATGAGCCTTTATTCGTGTGCACACACCTGTGACACTTGTCTCATCAATAATGAGATTCCTTAACTTTTTAATGGACTTACTGAATGGCAGGGGTTCAAAATGACTCATTGAGAAGAGATTTTTTTTTTGCCTATATGTTTCTTTTCTTTTTTTTCAGAATAAACAGTAAAATCAACTTGGACAAAGCAGGAAAACAATTTACCTGAAAAGAAAATATTAGTTTAAATATCTCCTCTAAAGATATAAGGTATTTTGAATCAAACTTTGCTTGGAAGACTTCTTCGAATCTGTTCCAGACAGAATTCAGTTTTACCCCTTTATCCAACAGAATTGTTGTTTCCTTCAGAAGAACAGCTGATTGATCCAGTTGAGAAGTATATTATCATGAATGCTTTATTCAATCAAAAAGAGATAAAACGAATATATTCTCTGGCATATAATTAATGTCACATAACATGAAATACTGATTAAAGCTCCAAGTCTATGATATGGTTGCATTCTAATGAGAAATAAGCTTGGATTGATTTCCCATCTTTAAGATTAATATTGGGAAATCTGAGGAAAATGGCCAGCTCTCCTCACATTCTTCTTTGTACCTCCATATGTAAAACACTGTAATTAATATTTGGAGGTTGGAAGTCATACAAAATTTAAAGCACTGTATTCAGGCAATACAATTTCAAAAGTATAGAAATAATTCTCAAATATTTAAACATTTACAAATCAGTAATATCCTGAAAGATTGTGACACAGAATATTGTGAGCAAGGCATGCACAGCAGAAAACACCATGTCAGGGGAAACACTTGTCATAATAATAAGCATATGGATAAAAAAATACAAAAGTCTATTTTACAAAACAAATAGAGAAATTACTAAATACCCAGCTGGTACTATAAAAAAAATAGAGAGTAAATATGAATTGTGAGGTAGAGTGGCTTGATGCATAATTGTTCCATGGAACCTGAGGAAGAGGAAGGGTGGAAGGAAAGGTGTGCGGCAAGGATCTGAAGCATCTTAGGAAATACTTAGGGTACAGTCAGGAGAAATAAAATGTCCAAAATGGATAATGACATAAAGGGAATGTGTAAAAAGCTATTTAGGGTAATTATAAAATGAATTTAGTATCTGGTAATCTTTTGACTTCTAGATTAAATTTTAATAGTCTGGTAAGCCAAAAAAGATGTTTCATATGATGATGAACAAAGTATAAATAGTTTATACATACAAACACACACACACACACGCACACGCACATGCACACACACAAGCACCCACACACACTGCTTATTCATGTAAACATGACCTCCTAATTTGAAAAAGAACAGATCCTTCATTTGCCAATCTCAAAAACACACTTGGAGATTACAAACCATTTAAATATTTTAAATAAACTCATTTACTAGAATTTAGATGGGTAGTAGATGTTACAAATTAGCTGAATGATATAAATGAGAAAATATTTAGAGAAAAGGGGCTGTATAATATGAATGATACAAAAAGCTCAATAATGAATTCTACTACAGGAATTTAAATTATCCAACTTTGAAGGCATTGACATTTTCCCATAAAAAGGGCACAATGAGTTCACCGGCATTCTCGAGAACAGAGCACGGGCATATAACAAGACAGAGAAGAAAGGTGAAATTTTTTAACGAGTTATATGCCTCTCTTTGTGTTAGCAAACAGATTAATGAGGTATGTCTAGTAAATTAATGACTTGGAATGAAAGAAAAGACTGCTCACAGGTTTTATCACATGTTCGGCACTGAGTATATAAGCTTCGCCTTACATGTGTAGATACTCACTCTAAGGATCTTACCTTGAACAACAGCTCAAATCCTTCTCTCTGAACACCATGAGCTACTACAGCGGCTACTACGGAGGCCTGGGCTATGGCTATGGCGGTTTTGGAGGCCTGGGCTGTGGCTATAACAGCATCCGCAGACTGGGCTATGGTTCTGGCTTTGGAGGTTTTGGATATGGCTCTCGCTATGGAGGCTTCGGAGGCTTCGGATATGGCTCTGGCTATGGAGGCTCTGGCTCTGGCTATGGCTTTGGAGGCTCTGGCTCTGGCTCTGGCTTTGGAAGCTATGGATATAGCCACCGCCGCCCTTCCTGCTGTGGAAGATATAGATTCTCCAGCTTCTACTGAAACCTGCTCTAGTAACTCAACATTTGACACCTTCACTAGTTCTTCAGAGAAATCCTTGCCAAGAAGCTTTGATGATGTTGAACCAACTGAATAGGTCAAATTCTACGATTTTAAAGACTCCATATATAAAATGTGTATGCATACTAAGCTTGGGGACTAAGAGTGGATTTGTGTTCAATTGCCAATAAATGTTTCAATAAAAAATTGAAACGTGATATTTTTTATTATTTTTAGGTATATATGTAAAAATGTTGATATCTGTCTAATATGACAATGCACACAGGAATATATGCATATAAATTAATACACATACATATACACATAGATAGATAGATAGATAGATAGATAGATAGATAGATAGATAGATAGACAGACAGATAGATAGCAAGAACAAGACAGGCTGGGTGAGGGAGAAATAGTATTGAAAGGGTAAGAAAATAGAGATTTAATTTCCATGACTTGTCCAGCACATGCTGAATGCAAGTATTAAAGTTTTATACTTTGTCTAATATAGAAAATTTGCCAGGTCAGGACCTGTGTTAACATTTCTTCTTTAATTAACACATTTTGTTGACATTGAGATTTGACCCAAAAAATTGACAAGTTTTCTACTTGGAATTTAACTCACCAATGAGCAATATTAAATCCCAATTCTCAGTGAAAATGTACTATGTCCTTCACTTTCAGTTAAAACTGCTAGAAGTTGGGATACACCAGACAGTGGGCTGACCCAGTGAAATGTCACTCACCAATGATGTTGAAGGCTAGGTGTTTAAGCCAGATCCAGTATCATAGAATTTCCCAGGAGGCATTTTCTTTTTGATTTAGATAATACCTTTCATAAATAGTTATCACAGGCTATAAAGGAGAAGAGTAAATTACTTCTGTCGAAATTCTTAGTTTAGTCAGTACTATACCAATTTGTTTTCTTTAAGATTTATTAATCAGTTTCTATGTTGATAGAACATATTTTGCATTTTTAAAAGTTTGATACTATCATAAGTAGTGATACTATTTTTACCCTTCTGTTCATAAAATAAGCAAAGACTCATGTAAGCCATGAGTTGATAGTTCTAAACAAGTAAGAAAAACATAATTTTGGGGGGGGAATCCAATGAGTGGACAGAAAAATATGGTATTCACAGCACATATTTCAAAAAAGTATTTCTCATCCTCTGCTCCTAAGAAAATAATGGTTTTGTTATGTTCTCTTTTAAAGTGCTTTTTTCTTGTTTTAAATGGAGAAATAAACTTTGTATGGCACAGTTGTGCATCTTCTTCCATGAAGGCACATTTACCATTTATCAACTTACTGAAGGGTTTTTCATTTTATCCTGTATTAGTTCCAAGTACAAGATGATCTTAAGTCTCAAAATATTTTTTTTTAAAAAGTGCATTAGGAAGTTAAGCACTCAGAGAGTATCAGAACAATAACCTGAAATTCTTAGCTGTGATTTGTTTATAAATCTAAACCATTCTTCCAGTTGTACTGACACAACATCATAAACTTACTTAAAATATTTTGAGAATTAAGGGAGTGGTTTGTAAGTAAAGTATGTGGTTCATGAGAGTGAAGGGAAGGGTTGACAGTATTCACTATAGTTTCAAAAAGCTGGGCCTACCTTTTCCTGTGAAAACTGAATGAGATTTGGCTAAAGTTCCACAGACAGTCAAGAGGAAGGCTCATGTAGGTCCATTGCTATGTTAACATGCACAGAAACAGCAGGAGTTCATGTCAGGCTTGAAATACATCTTAGAGTGTCTGATAAGCTTCCCAAGTTATACTCTGAACAATCTAAGCATTAATATAACACATTAATATATCCCATTCATACAAAATGTTGAGTGCCAACTGATTCCACAGCTTTAACACTAGGTAAGGTAAAAAAAAAAAACAAACCCGTTAGAACAAAGAGTGTGTACCTTTATAAGTATAGGTGGAATATTAGTTTCTTAAAAACCATGTAATTCAAAAATTATCATAAATACCAAGAAAAACTTAACAGGGTAATTATAGTCATAAAATAAGTTATACGAGACTCAACTTTTAAGATGTGGTCACATGTGGGTAAAGTTTAGTCAATTGCAAAGTCAGCCTGAGGCGTAGCCACCTCATTGGGATGAGCCACAGGGAGACTAAAGCCAAAGACTATCTATCATATTGTCTGCTCTCCTTTCTGACTGTGTCTCACACTTACTGAATTTAAGGTTTGCTTGAGTTGTCAAATTCTTACTGAGTGTTCAGAGGATTTTATGTGATGCAATAAGTTTTAAGTACTAAATGACTATTAGTTATTATTTGTTATTAAGTACTAAATTATTATTAGTTTAAGTACTAAATAACTATTAGTTATAATAACAAATTAATTGTTTTAGAAAGGTTCAGTTGGTATCATAGGAAATAATATCTCAAAATTACCAGAAAGCAACTAAACCCAAACAGAGAAAGATGGAAGAGCCCAAACAGAGAACGTGGTGAAGGGCTGAGCATGGAGAAACAATGTAGCCCTGAGTGGGTGGGTTATAACCACATCCATTGTACCTTCTCATCCCTTCACTTTGGTAGAAGAAATAGTGGCAAACTGAAGTCAGGTGATCTTTGAAATGAGACTAGAACGAGTCAGACCACCAGCAGCAGACTGATAAAGAAACAAGGTAAAGAGAGTAGGTTCAGATGTAATCCATGGAGTTCCAGTGCTGGACTCCTTGTGTGGGCAAGATGAAGGTGCTAGAGATTTCTGCCAAGAAGTGAAGGAGATTTTCAATCACTGTCATTGTCACTCTCTCTTTGCTTGTAACTCGATTGAGGTATGCTGTTAAACAAAAATAAATGTAGCACAACTGAGTGTAAATCCCAAAAGGAATATTGTCAATCATACTTACTCAAAATCTTACACTTCTAGAAATCAGGTGACGATTCCTGACTTGTCCTTGCCTGGTATGATACAAAATATGTGACTCTTTTGAAACACTGATACATTTCAATCTTCATCTGGGCAATTTCCCAAAATTTTTATGGATTCAAACTATAGCAGTGCTTCCAACAAAATGCTTTTGGAAGAATGTTAATTTACATTCAAGAATACTTAGTGTGTATGGTATTGTCTAATAATAAGTAATTCTGCTATGATCTATTATCTTTGTACTTGAAAGATACGATGACTCCTCTAATAAGGTTAAAGCATTAAGTTCTGAGACAAACTAAGTAGCCAAATAAATCTCAAACATCCTTTACAGATGTTGGCCAAATGACAGTGGATGAAAGTATTGTCTCAGGTAATTGCTATTCGTGGAATGACACAAAGGTGGGGCACATGTTTCATCACATCCACCTCCCAGAGTATATAAGCTTTGCTGTAGGAGCTGACACTCACACTCAGAATCTCTCCTCAAGCACAAAACCTCCTAAAACACCTACCACTCCCAACATTATGAGCTACTACGGAGGCCTGGGCTACGGCTATCGTGGCTTCGGAGGCCGCGGCTATGGCTGTGGATGTAACAGCATCCACAGACTGGGCTATGGCTCTGGCTTTGGAGGCTTTGGATATGGCTCTGGCTATGGAGGCTTCGGATACCGCTCTGGCTTCGGAGGCTTTGGATATGGCTCTGGCTTTGGAGGCTTTGGATATGGCTCTGGCTTCGGAGGCTCTGGCTCTGGCTCTGGCTTCAGAGGCTACGGATATGGATGCCGCCGCCCTTCCTACTGTGGAAGATACGGGTTCTCCAGCTTCTACTGAGTGAATTGTTGAAATTAGAAGCAAACACAAGACATGGAAATATATGTGGTCCTGTTCTTTGTTCTTATTTCAGAGAAATATGTACCTCCTTTTCTGTGACATCAATTCACACAATTTAGGAATGTTTATACAGCTTCTGTGAACATTTCGTATCTTTAACCTCTGCAACCCATTACCAAAATGCATATTTAATATGAATAAAATTTTAATTTGCTCAGCTTATGTTTTAAATTATTATTGCTATATTATCATTCTAGTGATATCATAGAGAAAACGTGCATTGCTATTATTTACTAAATGCTTGAAGTTCTTATCACTACCTTAGAATCTTATTTTGCGACTAGTATAAAATGTTTTATTAGGAAGTGTGTTGGTTTGAATAGTTTTGGCATCTATAGCTCCAAGTATTTCAATATGCTTGGCCCATGGGGAGTGACACTATTAGGAGGTATAGCCATGTTGGAATAGGTGTGGCCTTGTTAGAGGAAGTGTGTCACTGTAAAAGTGGGCTTTGAGGACTCCTAAAGCTCAAGCTCCTTCCGGTATAAAAAGGAGCCCCCTTCCGGCTTCCTTTGGATCAAGATGTAGAACTCCCGGCTCCTCTACCATCATGTCTTCCTGCATGCTACCATACTTCCCACCATGGAACCTCTGAAAGTGTAAGCTAGCCCCAATTAAATTTTTTTTTTTTTATAGAAGTTGCCTTTGTCATGATGTCTCTTCACAGTAATAAAACCCAAACTAAGACAAGAAGTTCTGATATCTGGCTGCACGCTACACTTGATGAAAATGTTTCTAACTCGTTTCTCTACACAAGCTTAAAACATGTAGGCTATCTACTAAGAATAAACAGAAATAACTTGTTTCTATTTGCTCACTCAAGATAGGAACTCTCAAATGCCTCTCAATTGTGCAGTCATTGTGGATCATTGCTATTGGGTGCATCTTGTTTGGCAGTACAGTTCTAGCCAATCACAACATAGGTGAGTCTTACTATCTTTGGCATCTACTGAGAGCTACCATGCCTGGGCTGACCATGCTATGCCAGAAACAAAAGCATTGTCAGAACTTCTTACATCACAGGAAATTCACAAGATGACAGACAGAGATTCTATGGCACAAATTTACAAGACAAAACTGCCCCACCGCCCATGGAATCCTGCCAGAGGAAAACACAGATCCTTTATTTTTAAGATTCATAATCATTTTAATTGTGTATGTGTGTGTGTATGTGTGTGTGTTTGTATTTATTTGTTTTTTAGTGGGTCAATGCAGGTGAGATATGATTGTTCCACAGTGGGAATTAGAGAATTATGGGTGGCTGTGTGCTGCCTAACTTGGGAGCTAGAAATTGAATCTGGGTTCCTTACAAAACCAGTATGAACTCTTTAACACTGAGTGATCCCTCCAGCCCTAGGAACACATGCACTTTTATTCCAATGATAATTACCAATATTAACTCAAAACCACACATCACACATACACGTTAGAATGTGAACAGAAACACACACACACACATTCACACACGTACACACACACACAATTTATATGTTATAAAGTGACTGGTGAAAGAGAAAGCCAGATGTTTAAGAAACAGGTAGATGGAAATGGAAATATAAATTGTATTGATAGAATGAGGTACCAAATCAGCATCAGGGAAGGAGCTGAAGAAGCCGCCATTCTGCTGTGAGCTTACCTTGTTTGGAAGTGAACCGCAAGGTTGAGTCCAGCTGCAGAGGTGAGAGGGCAAGACCAGGTCCATACTAAAAACAAACAAACAAACAAAATCCCCAACAAAAAGGAAAAGAAAAACAACCCAAATTAAAACAAAACAACAAATAAAACAAAACAAAAACCAACCAAACACAAAACACTTATGAAAGACCAGATGGAAGCCCTCTAGAAACAACCAGGTAGACAGCAGGTAAGTAAGCCACATTAAGGATCAAACCATGTTGAAGGCCAGGGACAGTTATAAGTTCTCAGTCTGTCAGTCTCTGATGCTCATACCAGGTGGTCAGGTTACAGGTCCCTTGGAATCAAAGCCTTCATGATCCTAGGAATATACCATTTTATGATGTTCAGGTGAGGTAATTATTCCTTGGTTTGATATGTTCAATAAGTCCTTATGTGTACTTTTTCTTGATATGGTATTAACAAATACACATGCTCTCATATTCTCAATTTGTCAAACAAATTAATAAGATGTCATGCTGTCTGCTCCTATTAATAAGTGGTTTAACTCTGCTGCATAAGTTGTTCCACCCAGGTGCACAATTGTTCTCTTATCTTTAAAATGGAGAAGCTTTCACAATAGTCTTTTTGAAAGGTACAATATAGGGAATGAGAATGCAAAATGCATTCGCTTAAGTTTGGACACAGCCTGATTTCACTGGTCCCTTATAAAGAAAATCTATTTGCTACCACCATGACATAAAAAACACAAATGTCATAGTTTTCTACAAAGAATTGATGAGTGTATGTGTGTGTGTGTGTATTTGTGTTTTGAGGAGAGCATTTCTGATCTGTTTTCCATTTATTAAATGACCGTTGATGTTCTATAGACATTCTCCTCTATGGATGATGAGGCAAAGTGAAATGTTAGTTAATAGCATGCAGGATTCTCTGCCAACAAGAGCTTCTTCAGGTTTGACAATTCTGGTCCTATTATTCAACTAAGACTACAGATCTTGACTCTTTCCAGAGGTTTTCTACTCAGAAATTCCTTCAGGTCATGAAGAACAAATTGAATTGATACTTGCTCTTCAATTTACCATTCCTAGTTCAGCATCTAGGACATCACCAGTGAATCTGAACTGTGTCTCCCTCCAAGTTTCTTAGCCAGCATTATGAAATGACCAGGAACTCCCATTGTACTATGGCATTAGTCCTAGCCTGACATGTGTGGATCCAGTTAATTCAAGTTTGACCACTTACCATTGATGTCAGAGATCTGTATGCACTTCAATATTCTAAAAAGAAGAGAATGACTGTTTGAATAAATTTTCATGGACTAATTGTTTTCTTTTATTTGCATGTTGATTTTGTTTCAAATCGCACAATGGAAAGAAAAAGAAATAGAGCTAGGCAAGAGGGAAGAAAAATAAAATGAAAGAAAGCTGGATGGAAGGAAAGACATTAGGAAGAGAAAAGGAAGGGAGGGAAAGACAGTGAAAAAATTCACATTAATTATGGTTGCTTCTTAATTGAACTTGTGTTGGTAAGCAAAACAATTACTGAATAAATACAAAAATATTTAGTTGAGGAGAGAGAAATGAAGGGAAGGAAATTTTCCCCTTTTAAATTTAGGGGAAGGAAGGAGTTAATTCACAAGTGAAGGTCTGAGTCACTTCTTTATATGCCTTCTGAATTTTGCATAATAATTAATGGGAAACAAAGATAATTTGTGTCTAAGTATCTTCAAACCAGAAGGAATGGATACAAGGATATTCCAGTAAATCTTGTTTGCCCATGCTGTAATTAATTTTGTTATGCAGTTTTGAAATCTAAAGCTCAGATATTCTACATGCCCTGGACAGCGTGAGTCCACAGCTTACACTTTAAGCAGGGCTCTGAAATGCTCCCTGTGTACTAATGGTTATGATTGTCATTCTATATGATTTACATCCTTGAGTTTTCACTCTTTATTGCTCACTCTAAAATTTAATGGCATGTAAACATACATTTACATTTGCTCTCTAAGGGGTGCTATTATGGGTAGAGATTGCCCTCTTGACACATTTTTTAAATGGTGGATTTTTTTTTTTATCATTTAGAACATTTAACATGTGATTGCTCACCATAATTTTCAGCAGGCAGGCATTGCATTGACTAAATATGACCTTGTCTGCCATCTACATTTGGTTTAAATGTGGGCCTCATTTAAGGATTTCTTTTTAATTTATTACTGTTCAAAACTGTCAAGATGCAATTAAAATTGGTTTGTACCCCAAGTAATTGGTGCTTCTAATACCATGGCTTTGTGAAGCAGATTTCAAATACTATGCTTACACTCTTGATCACATCACTAAAAAGTAGGAAGCAAGGAACCTGAAATAAATTTCCAGACTGTGGTCATTAAAATAGATCTGTTGTGGTGAAGCAATGCTTTATTTCCATTGACTGCAGTGATTCTCAACCTTTCTAATGGAGTTTCTCATGGGGCGGTGACCCCCCCCATCATAAAATCATTTTGTTGCTATTTCTTTTTGTTTGTTTGTTTTGTTTTGTTTTTTTGAGATAGGGTTTCTCTGTGTAGCCCTGGCTGTCCTGGAACTCACTCGGTAGACCAGGCTGGCCTCAAACTCAGAAATCCTCCTGCCTCTGCCTCCCAAGTTCTGGGATTAAAGGCATGCACGACCACCGCCAGGCTTCTTTTTTTTTTTAATTGATCATTTTATTCACTTGCATTTCAAACAGTATCCTCCCTGATTACCCCTCCCCCAACACACACACACACACACACACACACACACACACGAATCTCATTTTCTCTTCCCCATCCCCTTTGACTTTATGAGGGTGCTTTTTCACTCAATCTCAATCTCCCACTCCCATCCCCCTACCCTGTAGCATCAAGCCTCCTTCCCCTCCCATTCATGTCAGAGAAGGCCATCCTCTGTTACATATGTATCTGGAGTCCTGGATACTTCCATGTATACTCTTTGGTTGGTGGTTTAGTCCCCTGGGAGCTCTGGGTGGTCCAGTTAGTTGTTATTGTTCTTTGTATGGGGTTGCAATCCCGTTCGGCTTCTTCAGTCTTTCCCCTAGCTCTTCCATTGGGGTAGCAACTGTAATTTTGCTACTGTTATGAATCATAATGTAAATATCTGGAATGCAAGATATCTGATAAGATACCCCCAATGAGGTGGAGACACACAGGGTGAAGACTGCTAGTCTAGTGCATCAGTTACATGTTTCAGTGTTCTCTCGATGAACAGAACAAGGTTATTTTCAGAAGGAAGGGATGGATTCTTCTTTCAGGAGAGGCTGGAGCTTAC